CTCTTCTCTTCTCTTCTCTTCTCTTCTCTTCTCTTCTCTTCTCTTCTCTTCTCTTCTCTTCTCTTCTCTTCTCTTCTCTTCTCTTCTCTTTTTTTGTGCACCTGTCCTAGGGCTTGAACTCAAGGTTTAGGCATTGTCCCTAAGCTTTTCTGCTTAAGGCTAGTGCTCTACTATTTAAGTCACAGCTCCATTTCCAGCTTTTGGGTGTTTAATTGGAGAAAAGAGTCTCATGGACTTTCTTGCACCTGGCTGGCTTTGAACTCTGATCCTCTTCGAGTAGCTAGGATAATAGGCATGAGTCACTGGTACCTGGCTTGTGTTAACTTGTGTGTGTCTGTGTGTGTGTGCCAGTCCTATGGCTTTAACTCAGGGCCTGGGCACTGTCCCTGACCTTTTTTGTTCAAGGGACTTGAGCTACAGCTCCACTTCAGCTTTTTTGATTAATTGGAGTTAGAAAAGTCTCACAGACTTTATTGCCTGGGCTGACTTCCAACTGCAAACCTCAGATTTCAGCCTTCTGAGTAGCTAGGGTTACAGATGTTAGTGAGTTTCCAGTGCCCAGCTGAGTTATATTTTCTTTCTTTCTTTTTTCTTTTTTTAAAGAATATGTAACTTGAAATGTATTTCAATCTAGATTTGTAGTTTTAATAATTTTGGCTCAGAAAAAGAGTAATGAGAGAGCTTCAGGGCTACTCTTGAATTCTCATCAGTGGGTTTCTATTAGTGGTTATCCTGTTGAATGAGTTTAGTAAGTTGCAAGTAAATTTCTTTTTGCATATTCAGTGTATCTTCAATATGTCTGAAATTTGAAAGTTTCAATTTTCCTTAAAAATTTATCAGTAATCAGAATGCCTTTGAAAAAGAGGATGTTACTTTATACTCTACCAAAGGAAAAAGTGCTATGTACTTATTTTGTGTGCTATGATGTTATACATGCTTATTAATAAGATCCCAGACTGTAAGAAACTGGTTACCTATTTTTTATCTAAATGAATACCTTCATACTCTCTTGTACTTAATGCACAAATCCTGCTTTGATGACTTTAAATAATTGTGCACATAATTAAAAAAAAACAAAGCTAAATTATGAAAATTTCTGGGAATCTTATTAGTTCACTCAGATCCTGTTCTTTTTATTTTTTATTGTTTGGTAATTTGAGAGGAATCCCTTTTCAAATTGTATCTGTCTCTCTTTATCCCATTTATTAATAGAAAATGTTTCGATGAAAGATCCTCCGGACTTATTGGACAGGCAAAAATGCCTGAACGCCTTGGCGTCTCTTCGACATGCCAAATGGTTTCAGGTTGGCCTTTTGTTATTATCTTACTATTATTCTAGCCTTGTGCAGGTTTCATTTGGAACACCTGCCACTTCCTAGTTTCTGTGTGCTATATAAAATGGGGATATTTTCTAGCTCATAGGGTTGTTGTTGGAATGAATGAATCAATTTAGGATCAAATGCCTAGTATAGTTTCTATTAAAGTTAATGATGTTTTATCACAATTCATTTGGCTTAGCACTCTGAACTTTGAGTTGTGGATTGTAAATAAAAACATAGAAAAGCTAAAAGTTAATATAGGCTATTGCTTGGAATGGAGTAGCCATGAGGCTACAAGAATTTTTAAATTGCACTCCTTTCACTTGAACATCGGCATTTTTGGAACACAATTTACTATTTTGATTTCATTTTCTTGGTTTGCTTGAAAACCATTGAATGACTTACTAATTAGTGTTCACTCTAAACAACTTATCCATGATCAATGTGCTTAAAATGAAGAATGGATCTCAAAAGGGATATTGGAATCATTTTGTTTGTTTTAGGCAAGGGCAAATGGATTAAAATCATGTGTAATTGTCCTCCGAATTCTGCGTGATTTGTGCAACAGAGTCCCCACGTGGGCACCACTGAAAGGATGGGTAAGTAGTTAAGGGTGGTTAAAGGCAAGTTCTGAAGCTATAACAGTGTGGAAGTCCTGTAAAAACAATATAATAAATGACATTAGCTAAGGGATGCATTATGTGTTTTTTTTTGCCCCAGAAAAAAAATTATGCATGTTTTTATATGAATTGTATTTTTAACTAGTTTCTTCTACCTTATTATATTCATGTTTCAGAACCTGAATTTTTTTTTTCTGACAAAGAGGTTTTATAGCTTTTAGAAGTGTCTTTCTGTCCTCACCTCTGCACTGTGATAGTTGATTAAACTATTGGACAACTGGTTACCTACTGTCCATGAAAGTCTAATTAGCTGTCCTTTTCAGTGTATCTCTTATTACAGAGGATATTTATGTAATAGACTTGTATAAGGAACCTGTAATTTTATATTCTAAGTGGAGACACTTAAAAATAAGTTCATGTTAGTAATTAAAGTTATACAAAGAGCATACTTAACTAGATTATATCATTGACATTGACTTAATTGGGAAAGTATTATGCCTGACCAATCAATAAAGACTACAATTTAAGAAGCAATTCAAATAAAGCTGTCAAGAGTCATCTATAAAGTAATCAACATTACTTTGTTTTGTGATTTTCAATTTATTAAATATGAAGATTGGTTCCTTTTTTTTCTAATTGTAATACTTGGATCAGCCTGTCTGAAATTTTGTTCTTACATGATATATTTATAGTTTAAGTGTTTCTTAAGTTAAATAGGATTTAGGTAGCCTGGATTTGTACATTGGCTAGTTACTAGCTATTACTAACTTACATGAAGGCTTGGTCATAGTTTCTTTATAGAGTATTAATTTTTCTGTTGTTACAACAATATCTTCAGAAAATGTCTCAAAAGTACTTGACTTAAAAAATTGAGTGGGGTTTAAGATAGCAGGCCTTAAATGTTAAATTGTCTTTACGTTTTTGGCTTCCCTTATAGATAGAAATGTCAGCTCACATTTAACTGGAATCCCTTTTAACACTTGGTGCATGTACTAATTTGTAATTTAATATCTTCTAGCCACTAGAGCTTATATGTGAAAAGTCTATAGGTACTTGTAATAGACCTTTGGGCGCTGGGGAGGCCTTGAGACGAGTAATGGAGTGTTTGGCATCTGGAATACTACTTCCTGGTAAGGGTTTCAAACTCTGGAGGCAGAAGAATCAGAAAAACCTCATTTTAGTTAAATTGTCTACACATACATTAAATTTGTTCTTTGCATAGGAAAATGATGTCTAGGAGTTACTTTGCTTGGAATTTTAGCAACTAGAATGTTTGTCTGTTGGAAAGGTGAAATAAAACTTTTTCAATAATTATAATTTGTTTTATATATACTAACATAAAGGGTACTAATAGAGATTGTGTCTGCTATGAATTTGCCTTACCTAGAAGTCTGAATTTGAAAATGCTGATATTTGTTTAAAATGTATGAATTTAATTGTTTGCAGTCTGTGTTAAATTTGGAAAAGTTAAATTTGGTCTCATTTTCCATACGTAATCCTTTTAAAGATTGTGCTGTTTCTAAATTCTCAGAGTAAGATCCATTTTTGGTACTAGATAGACAAGAGACTTCCATTATAAGATAAGACCAATTAAATGTTAATATTGAAAATGAGAGTGAGCAGACTTTATTTAGCTCCTTGGTTTTTTCCCCATTCTTTGTTGTATCACTTTGCTGAGTTCTAACCTCAGTTCTGACTGACATTTGTATTTTTCCTTGCCTTTGCTAAAGGAGGCCCTGGTCTTCATGATCCTTGTGAGCGAGACCCAACAGATGCTCTGAGCTATATGACTATCCAACAAAAAGAAGATATTACCCACAGTGCACAGGTAACAAGACTGAAAAACTACTGTGATTTTTAGAAAGATATCAAAACTTTTATTTTCAGAATCCTTCTTGCATGCTCTTAAGGATTTTTGCCATCATAATAGCAGCATTTAATGAATGTCTTTTTAGCTAGACTTATGAATGGCCATTGAAATTTGATTAAGAAAATGTTTTATTCTTTAGCATGCGCTTAGACTGTCAGCGTTTGGCCAGATTTATAAAGTGTTGGAGATGGACCCCCTTCCCTCTAGTAAGCCTTTTCAGAAGTATTCCTGGTCAGTTACTGATAAAGAAGGTGAGTGTGAAGGTTTTTATTTTGTTTGGGGGTTTTATTAGAACTTAAAGAACTTAAATCATTGTTTACCCAAGTCATCTTTAAGAAAATTGATTGATTTTCTCCTGACCTTTTTGGCTTATAGCCCTATCAGTGGCATTAATTTTTTCTGTTTGTTACCATTTTTTTGTTTTTACTACAAAGACAAAGGTACCATACTTTGAACTTTGATCTAAGAATAAATTATATAAGCTAGGAGGAGATACTGGTACTGTTGCTGATAATTTTGGAAATATGTATATACATGCAACATAAAAACATACCTACATGCACATGTGTGTTTTGCTAGGGTTGGGTTTGAACTCTGCCTTGAGCTTTCCTCAGCTTGCTTGTTTGGCTGGCACTATGCTACTTTAGCCATACCTTTATCCAGCTTTTTTCTGGTTATTTTGGAAATGGAGTCTTAATGAATTTTTTGTTTAGCTGGCTTTTAACTGAAGTCTTCCAGCTCTCAGCCTCCCGAGTAGTAAGGAGTACAGCTGTGAGCTGCCAGAGCCCAGCTCATGTGTGGAAGTATTACGTAACCACCAAAGAGAAAACAAATGTAAAAGAAGAGAAAAGCATATTATAAAATTCAGTACCATCTTCTATTGTCCTGGTTTGACTAAACTTACGAGTTTAACAGAAAGAGCGTCAGAATGACCTGGAATCCAAATTATAGCTTTATTACTTACTTAGTTTAGGTCTTGAGCAGTGAATTTTCCTCCCTCAGTAAGGATCTTACCATTTTTCTTACTTATTGGCTGTTGGCAGCTTAAAATGTCTGACTCAGGGCCTTTAATATAGCAGATGCTAAAATGTGAATCTACTCATTCTCTACAATGTGTCACAGAAAACACTTTATTTTCCTCCCTCTTACTTTCTTTTTTTTTTTTTTTTTTTTTGGGTCCAGTTGTGGGGCCTGAACTCTGGGCCTGGGCGCTGTCCCTCAGCTCTTCAGCTCAAGGCTAGCACTCTACCACTTGAGCCACAGCGTTTTTTCTTTTTGCTTATGTGGTGCTGAGGAATCGAACCCAGGGCCTCGAGCATGCAAGGCAAGCGCTCTACCACTGAGCCACCTTCCCAGCCCCTCCCTCTTACTTTCATGTTATACTAGAAGGTGGGGTATTTCATAGCAGATACTCTTTACCATGAGGTAACTTACTTCCCACAATTGAGACTGTTCTAAAAATTTGTGTGTAACAAAATTAGTGCAATTGTACAATCTGTTTAAACAGAATTACACTAGGTCTCTGGGCTTATTCTGGGAGATGAAACTTTCTTGTTTGACCAAAAAGATCAAAACTGTTTCATACCTGAGAGAGGTGGTGCATACCTGTAATCTTAGGACTCAGAAGGCTGACACAGGATGATTTAGAAGTTTGAGACCAGCCTGGGTTGCATAGCAAGACTCTAATCTCAAAATAAAAATCCTATTTCATGATATTAAGGCATTTGTCATTTTACTTACTTTTTTTGTTGGTTGTGGGGCTTAAACTCAGAGCCTGGGCACTCTTGCTGAGGCCTTTTGCTCAAGGCTACCACTCTACCACTCTGAGCCACAGCACCACATCCCATGTTCTGGTGGTTAATTGGAGATATGGTTGTCGTGGACTTTTCTACCCTGGCTGGCTTCAAATTGTAATCCTCAGATCTCAACCTCCTGGGTAGCTAGGATTATAGATGTGAGCCACTGGTACTCAGCTTAATTATATTTTTATTATCTTTAACATTTTAGTTTTTAAGGGGAAGAGGGAAACTAGGATGAGAGCTAGGAGCTATCATCATGACAGGTCAGTTTTAGCACCTACCTTTCTACATTCACATGACTTCAAAACAGATTTTTTTTTTCTTGACTACTTCTTCCACAAATAATTTTTACCACCTACCTCATCTCAGCTGCTTATTCTGTGGACAGACCCCAGACCTGTCTTCAGCATTAATAGTATCAGATGTAACTTTCTATAATTGTATTTTAAGAGTTTCACGTTTTAGCTTACCTTTGATCACTCTGTCTATACTCTTATCCCTTAAACTCACCATTGATTTTAGTTACCTTAATTATTTCATGGTCTTCTAGCTTTCACACTGCTTTTGTTCTCTGGCTCATCATTATGATCCCTAACATATACCTGTACTTTTGATATCATGTCTTCCTAATAGAAGTATTTTAAGTAGCTGAAATCCATCTCTCAACCTGCAACAGGTTGCTGAGCAAAGTTTGGGAAAAACACTGAGTCATCTTCTGTGTTCTCCCTTTAAGTCTTTGGCACTACAACCTCACAGGGACTCTTTATGTTGTCTGGTAATTCTCTATGTCAGTTTGAGCGTTCTTCTCTTTTCCTAAATAACTCTTTAACATTTCCTATTTCACATCGCTACCATTACCTCCTGCTGTCTGATAACTTTGCTTGTTTTCTTTTTTGTCAGATTAATAGTTATTGGAGCTGGGTGCTGGTGGCTCATGCCTTTAATCCTTGCTACTCAGGAAGCTGAGATCTAAGGATCACAGTTCAAAACCAGCCTGGGCAGGAATGTCTGAGAGACTCTTATCTCCAATAACACACTCAGAAAACCAGAAGTGGCTCTGTGGCTCAAGTGGTAGAGCGCTAGCCTTGAGCTGAAGAGCTGAGGGACAGTGCCCAGGCCCAGAGTTCAAGCCCCATGACCGACAAAAAATAAATAAAAATGTTATTGGAGCTGATGTCTTCATATTCTTACCACTCTATATATCAACCTTGTTGTATCTACTCATACTCTTTGCTTTCCCTCTCTTACCTGTAGTGAACTGTCCAACCTCTTATGTAAAAAAGACTAGCCTTTAAATACAAGATCATGTCATCTGCAAAGAGGGAGAGTTTTACTTCATCCTTTCCTATTTGGATCCCCTTTATGTCTGCATCTTGTCTTATTGCTGTAGCTAGGCATTCTAATACTAGGTTGAAGAGGAGTGGGGACAGTGGACACCCTTGTCTTGTTCCTGAATTTAGAGGAAATGACTTTAACTTTTCTCTATTAAGTATAACTCTGGCTGTAGGTTTATCATATATAGCCTTTATTATATTGAGAAATGTTCCATGGATTCCTAGTTTTTCCAGAACCTTCATCATAAAGAGGTGCTGGATCTTGTCAGATGCTTTTTCTGCATCTATTGAGATAACCATGTGGTTCTTATCCTTGCTCTTGTTGGTGTGATGAATTATATTGTTTGTCTTTTTTTTTTTTTTTTTTGGTCGGTTGTGAGGCCTGTTGAACTCTGGGCCTGGGCGCTATCCCTCAGCTCTTCAGCTCACGGCTAGCGCTCTACCACTTGAGCCACAGCACCCACTTCCAGCTTTTTCTGCTTAGGTGGTGGTAAAGAATCGAACCCAGGGCCTCATGCATGCAGGGCGAGCCCTCTACCACTGAGCCACCTTCCCAGCCCATGAATTATATTGTTTTGCGTATATTGAACCAGCTTTGCATCCCTGAAATGAATCCTGTTTGATCGTGGTGTATGATTCTTTTGATGAGTTGTTGAAGGAGTGTAAACTTGTTCAGTTTCCTCAATAGACCTCATAGAGCTCCTTTATGACCCAGTGATCCCACTTTTGGGCATTTACCCAAACGATCACAAACAAGGTCATACCAAAGTTACCCAGCACAACCATGTTTATCGCAGCATTATTTACCATAGCTAAGATATGGAACCAACCCAGATGTCCCTCAGTAGATGAATGGGTCAAGAAAATGTAGTTTGTGTGTGTGTGTGTGTTATATAATATATATTATATATATATATTATATATATAGTGGAATTCTATGTCTCCGTCAGAAAGAATGACATTGCCTATTTTGTTAGAAATGGAAAAAATTATATTAAGTGAAGTAAGCCAGGCCCAAAGAAACACAGGTCCCATGGTTTCCCTTATTTGCAGTGACTAGTACATGTCTAGGACAAGCAGAGAAGGTCAAAGTCTAGTATATACAACCACATGAGATAATGTTAAGCAAAATATACCCCAAGACAGGGACACAAGAGGTGTTTTTTTTTTCCTTGCTTGCTTGCTTGCTAGTGTTATTAATGAACTTAAAATGCACTATGTGATTCTTTGATTTCTATTGTACATTCTTCCCTCATGGTATAACCCCTGTTTTCACTGGATTTGATGCTGGTGCTCTGTACCTTGTGTATATATTTTTGTAATTTGGGGAGGGGAAGGGATATTGCAGAATGCTTAAATGGGGATGCAGACTGACCCATTGTATAGGATGAGATGTACAGGACACTGTATTGAAAATGAACATTACAATGTGGGGGGGGCGGGGAGGGAAGTGATAGTAGGGGAAAATAAAGGAGGAGGTAACAATGCTTGCTATGAAATGTGCTCATGTAACTGTAACCCCTCTGTACAACATTTTTACAATTAAAAAAAAAAGACTAGCCTTTCTCCTTGTCCCATATATCAGATTACCTCTTGCCTATTAGTGGACATTATTCCATCAGTTATTTCGTCTCTTAAAATGTACAGTTTCTCCTCGTCTATGCTGTAACATCCCCTGTCTGAAGTAAACTCACCCTTAATTTTACAGCTGTTCCCAACAATCCCATGTTTCAGCTCCCCTTTAGAGCAGGACTCTTGGAAAAAGCAACTTTTAACTCACTTTCTGTTCTCTTTTGAACCTGTTATATCAGGCTTCCTTCCTTACCACTCTCCTGGCCTATCATCTATGTCTGTCTGTCTGTCTGTCTATCCTCTCTCTCTCTCTTTTTTTTTTCTCTCTCTCCCCCCAAGTCTATCTCTAATTAATCAATGTCTGTCTGTCTGTCCTCTCTCTCTCTCTCTTTTTCTCTCTCTCTCTCTCCCCCCAAGTCTATCTCTAATTAATCAATGTCTGTCTGTCTGTCTGTCTGTCTGTCTGTCTGTCTGTCTGTCTGTCTGTCTGTCTGTCTGTCTGTCTATCTATCTATCTATCTATCTATCTATCTATCTATCTATCTA